GCTCAGGCCCTAGCCCGGCCCGTGTCTGCCAGCTTCTCCCAAAACAGCCTACAGTATACTACTGTTTCAGCTATTAAAATAGTTCAGTTTTGTATGTAATGGCAAAGTGATTATATTTCGTTTCGTTTTTTTATTACGTTAATTTAGAAAAACATTTGGAGCATTTTTTGTTCGTTAAATATAAGTTTTTGTTTTTAAAGTAACGACCAAGTGGCCAGCGGCATATAACAATGTTTAAACGTTAAACCTAGATAAATCTGCACTATATCCAATAGTTTGCAGAGAGTGGAAGCTGAAGCGCGCCAGCGCGATCACTTGCATTTTTTTAAGTGGATACGCCGTCATTTTTACTCATAAAGGTAAGAGTAATACATCATTCGTAACTGTAAATGGTCTACTTTTATTTGTGTGCACTCACAATATCAACAAAATGTTGTGCTTTCATAAAATAAAGAAAACAAACATTATGCGCTTTCTGCAGTCTCATCTTGAACAGGCGCACTTCACAAAAATGAACCAAAACTCAGCGAATACATGCCTCACAGACATGATAAATATATCTATAGAAAGCTTTAAATTACAACTTAACAAATAAATCAAATCAAAAACAAAAACTCTTTCGTTATAATCATAACCCGTAAAGATGCGCTTCTCTCTAAAGGCGCGTCAGATGAGGAGATGGCGAGTCAGGATCGGCAACTTCATGTTTGCGACACTGACTCAGAAAACACTAGTTTATTAGTAAATAATTCAAATATCTCCTTACTATTCCCTTCTGACACATTTATGGTAACTACTTTTGTGGCAAACTTAAGCCTATTACCTGCATTTGAAAGCAGAACTGTTCAGCTGCGCTGACGGCACGCTCCATACATGCTGCTGCGGGATACTATACACCGTCGAGCCGCTCTTGACAAGTCGCGGTAGCACTGTCTCGTGTTGTTTCCACCAGAGTGGCAATTTTTTTCATCACTAATTGATGGATGTCTAAAATAAAAAAATAAGGAGAAGCCTAAAACAGGCCTGAGGCCCGGCCCGCGTCTGAACTATGACGTGAAAATTGTCTTTTGACTTTTCTGCATTAGGTATGTTTTTTTTTTTTTTAACTCTTTGTACTGCAGTTATTGTTCATTCTAAATGTATCTGTAATGTAGAATATGTGTTACATAAATACATGAAATGTAGAACATATAAAAAAGTGCTTGTGGCTCGTCTGCCAGTGGATGCCCCCCCTGCATAAAAGTGAAACTCCGCCTATGCTTATTAGTGGTCTGAAAGTGCTGCAGTATGATGGCAGCAATCAGAAGAAGACAAATGATCCCAAGACACACAGTGATCGCTACCAAATATTGCCTTTCTCCTGTCAGACACAAATAAAACACAAAAATATTAAATACACTCCATATTATCAGAAAATTAGGTTTCAAGAATCAAGTATTGTTTTATAATGACGAACATCTGTAATAATGCAGTAAAATATGCAAACAAGATCATATCGTAAAAAGTAAAAAAAAACTAAACAAAAAAAACAGTTAATACATTTAATATAAAAGCAGAAATATTGACGTATTGACATCTTACATAAAAAAAAACAACAACAACAACAACAAAAAACATTGTAATTGAATCTAACAGTTCTCATTTCCTGAAACCATCCTGACATCATCTCTGCTTCAAACTGAACTTTCTTCTTACTGTGTTTGCAAGCTTTTCTTTCATCGTTGAGGAGTGTTTGAAGTCCAGTTGTATTCGTAACACTTCTGCATGTAGCATTATCACAAAAGTCCTCTATTGCATTTTTTTTTGTTCTTTTGTGTCTTCCAGTACGTCTTCACAGATGAGCTGTGGTCCTTAGAATGATGACTACTTTTGTTTTAATGGTGCTAAACCTATGAGGGAAGTGATATCATTGGACACTGGCATTCATGAAGAATATAGACTTCCAGTCTGAAACTCTTCAGACCCAAACTATCCCAGATAGCAACATATTGTCGGCCCAGATCCGGCCCACATCTGGCACATGTGGAATGATGATCTGTCCCACATGTAGCTTGGAACGATGGCACTTGGGCGGACTGCTCCTGATTGCCAGATCTGGGCCAAAAGCAGGCCATAGCAATGCCACATGTCAGCCAAGAGCAAAGAAATAAACCACACTGGACATTATCCGAGTCACAAAATCTGTGTATATTTAATATGGAGTCATCTCAGCCTTAATAAGCCCATTAACAAGCAGAATCACTGAAGAAAAGAAGAGAACAGAAAATAAGAGCCAAACAGAGACTTAGCTGACTGCAGCCACAGCTTTAGATGAAATCAACTGAAGATAAAAGACATTAAATCTCTGAAGATCTCAGCAGAGGAGTATTACACAACTCCACAAACAGCATCACCAGCTTCACTCATTAATAACCAGACTGACTTTATTTCTGTTAGAGGTCTACAAAAGTTCTTATTGAGAATTAACAGGGGTTTAAATTTTTGTTTCATTTGAAGTCACCATAATGGTGATTACTGTTTCCATTAGTTGGCCTCTTATCTCTAAAGTCATGATACCACAGTGATGCAGCTTCGAAACAAGTCTGAGTAGCGTGTCAGACTCAAGGTCTATATTTACGTTGAAGTTCTGTGTCAGACAATTGAGGATAAATAAATACTGTGCAGTATAACTCACAGCTTTAAGTAACAGTCTCACATGAACATGCTTGTGTGCAGTTGCTGTCTGGACAAAAAATGGACCGAATTTACATGCCCTGCTGTACATTTTGACCGGTTGATGAAAAACAAGCTTATGTGGATTTTATACACATTTTTAAAAAATTAGATAAGGTTCTGATTCATGCTGCAGATAAAATAAATATAATTATTCATTAATCAATTATCATTTTGTCTTATCCACTTTCTTTATTTAAAGGCTGAAATGTGAGGTTTACCATTTTATGAAACTTTTTCAAAGCTTTATTTGATCATTTTGTATATGCTATTAGATAAACTGTTGTCGGTCATGTTGTCATTAAAAATCTGGACATCACTGGTAATGTTATTGTTTTAGTGTTTATGCAAACAAAAAGTCATTTTATTTTGTTGATTTTAAATACAAAACTTGTTGAAACAATTTGTGTCAGTACTTTTTTAACATTTCCAGCATATTTTAACAATACTTTGATGATACTGATAACTGTGATAATTTAGGCTACTATAATCATTATAATAAATTGTCATACCGTAACATTACATTTCTGTCCCCTCACTTCGGAAATGATGGCTATGCCTCTGCTGTCAATCGACCATTTTATTAAAACGGAAAGCAATTAAAATCAGAAGTGTTTCATAAGAGCTAGAATAAAGTCATATTAAAAGAGCTGCTTGTGATGGAGCTAAACATGAACACATCATAAACTGTCCACTGCATATTAATATACAGTGTGAGAATGATTTTTAGCACCATCTAGTGCCATTGCCATTTTGGAATATTATAGTAATAAATGCTCTTCATTGCCATAATTTGTAAGAAATTTCTCATCAAAACTCTTCTCTTAAATTGAGAGAAATAAAAAATACAGTCTTAAGCACAGAACCTTCAACGTGCAGTGCGGAGGCACAAAACCTTCGCTGATGCCCGGCGTTCCTCGACTCCCACTTACCAAACTGGACAGCAAGTATGGCTATCGACCCGGGATCTGCGCCTCCACCTACCTTGCAAGAAGCTGAGTCCCCACTACATCGGTCCGTTTCCGATACAGAGGCAGATAAATGAGGTCACCTACCAACTCCAACTTCCACCCAGGTACAGAATTCACCCCACCTTTCATGTGTCCCTCCTAAAACCCTTCTCTCCTTCTGCACCCGAACTCATGGCACCAGCAGAGCCTCCTCCTCCAGAGATCCTCGAACAACCATCTGTCTACCAGGTCAAGGAAATCCTGGATTCGCGGCGGCGGGGTGGCCGACTAGAATACCTGGTAGATTGGGAAGGATATGGACCAGAGGAAAGATCCTGGGTGGCCCGGGACGACGTTCTTGACCCCACATTGCTAGAGGAGTTCCATCTGACCCATCCTAATCGTCTCGCACCCAGAGGCCGTGGTTGCCCCCGTCGCCACTTGAGGGCGTCAGGAGCTGCCCCTGGAGTAGGGGGTAATGTCAGCGAGTCACCACAATCACCTGCCACTACATACACCAGATTACGTTCACCTGAGGTCTAATTCCTCGCACCTGTCATCTGCAATCAAGCCAACATTCAAAAGCATGCTCCTTCCAGTCACTCACTGTCCAGTCTACCGTTCACTACACTGAACTTACCAGACTCTCTCTATGCTATTCACCTGTGTCTACTTACCCTTATATTCCCGAGATTCTTCCTTCATCGATCTCCTTCGTTCCTGGATCCCATACTCTCCGCAAACCTACAAAAGGAAACAATCTGCTTAACCAAGCTAAGACTCACAGAACTGTCTATTGAGTTGGATACTCACCATTCATTGTTTCAGTCATTCTACCTCTGCAATTCCTGTCAATAAACCTGTTTATCCTTAACTAACCTGTTGTCTCCGGCTTGATCTGTGACATAACCACAGTGCTGCAGTGTCAAAGGTAAAATCCAATAGGGGCTTTCCTGCTGATCTGTATACAGTTTTTCTTTATTAGTGATCAGTGTGCGTCAGTTCACTAAAGGTCAAGAAGAAGCATCCACCACCGGAGTGTCCACATTGTCGAACCTGGCCCCCTTTAAAAAAAAGTTTGGACACCCCTGCCATGGAGTCATAAACCAGATACTCAAGAACAATGTATGAAATGAAAACAAAAATGGCAAGTTTAATATGGTAATGACAGTAATTGAACATTTTATTCAAACAGAAAGCAATTCAACTCAATAGCATTTTTACAGACACAATATACACTCAACAGACTTTAGACTTTTACTGTGATTGTCTCCTCAACACTTCAGAGCAACAAATGAGACTCATGATAACAGTAGAATAAGATCATATTAATATAGAGCTGCTTGTGATGGAGCAAAACATGAACACATCAGAGGTTTGGTGTCTCAGATCACCCTGATACATGCCATGAGAAACAGAATATTATTAAAGCATTAAGAAAATTATGACAATTTCACATTTTCTTTCTAAAAAAATCATAACAATTGACAGTTTTTTTTAAAGACATGGACCTCAATCAAAAAATACACTCTTAAAAATAAAGGTGCTTCACGATGCAATAGAAGAACCTTTTTTACCTTAATGGTTCCATAAAGAACCGTTAACACCCGAAGAACCTTTCTGTTTCACAAAAGGTTCTTTGTGGTGAAAGAAGCTTCTTCAGATTATAAAAAGGTAAGAAAGAGATGGTTCTTTAAAGAACCTTTGACTGAATAGTTCTTTGTGGAACCAAAAATGGTTCTTCTATGGCATCGCTGTGAAGAACCTTTTAAGCACCTTTATTTTTAAGAGTGCATGCATTCACAATAAGAATGATTATATTATATATAGAAGCAAAACCATGACAAGATGGGATGAACCCTATTTCTCACAAACACCTTTTCTCTTCTCTGAACATGGCAGATCATTCCAGTTGTTCAGGACCGGATTTGAAGGCATCATTTCAATACAGTCCTCATGACTATGTTGGTCATTCGGCTCACCTGGGAGCCAGAACCTGAATAACATGTATCACATGTTCAGTTTTTAAAGAGCACAAATTTATGAATCAACAATACTCACAGTATAACAGCATGTTTTGAGAATAAACTAAAGTAACACAGAAGCTTGAGCAGAAGTGAAAATGCAGAAAAGAATAAGAGACACAGTAAGATAATTTTTTTTCAGTATTTTCGCATAAAATTCAAGGCATTAATGTCTGCCTACAAAACCACCACTGGCTCTGCACCCCTTTACCTTCAGAGTTATGTGCCTCTAGAAGCTTGCACTCTGCAAGTGAACGACGCATTATTGTGCCATTCCAAAGAGGCACAAAATCATTTTCACAGACTTTTTCATTAACTGTTCCCTCCTGGATAAATAACCTGCCCAACTCAATCCAAGCAGCTGAGTCCTTAGCCATCTTCAAGAAACGACTAAAAACACATCTGTTCCATCTTTATTTGACCCTCTAACTCTAGCACTTTCTATTCTATTTTAATTCTACTTTATCTATTTCTTTATTTTTATTTAAAAAAAAAAACTAACACTAGCTTTCTATTTTTTGTAATCTATCTACTTGTTTTTCTTTGTGTGTGTGTGTGTGTATATATGTGTGTGTGTATATATGTATATATACCTCGCTACGTGTACTGCGTTAGGCTAACCGATACATGTCATTTGCACTTACATATTGTTGCTCTTTTTTTAGTTTTGATTGCTTCTATTGTCCTCATTTGTAAGTCACTTTCGATAAAAGCGTCTGCTAAATGACTAAATGTAAATATAAATGTAAGAGAGAGAATAATATTCTTAATAGAATTTACAGTATTTAAAGTGGTTTTAGTTTGGTGTTTGTGGAAGTTTTGTGGAAGAGGTTGATTTTTAGCCCTTACCCTCTATTCAGCAGTGAATTATCCACCCATTTCATGTTGCCCTCCTGCTCTGTGTCAGACAAACCAATCCACACTCTCTCCGTGGTGAATGAAGATATGAACCTCTGTGTGTGGAGAGGAATAACAAGGAATAAGTGTGATTCCTCTCATTCATTAACAGACACGAACACAAACTCACCTGCTTCTCTTCAGTGTTGATAATGATCAGATCAGCTCCATGATCCCTGCAGTACTGTCTGCTGTCAGACCAGCTCTTCTCCTCATTGGACATGAAAACCCAACCTCACAGAAACATCTTAGGTTCTTTCAGTGGCATCAGAATTTTTCCATTAATCAAAAGGTTCTTTACAATGAAAACAAGTTCTTTAGATTATTAAAATGTTCTTTACACTAATAAAAAGAACTGTTTACTGAAGAGTTCTTTGAGGAACTGAAATGCTTCTATGGCATCGCTGCAAAAAAAAACAAAAAACTTTTGCAACCTTTGGATTTTATTTTCCACAATGTCCAAGCACATATTTAATTTATTGTTTAAAAGACCATTCATATTAAGTAATATTATCAATTTAGCTGCACTGACACAATTGGATGAGAACAAAACCTGAGCTGAATAATGACTAACTTTGCAACATCAACACTGTTATTGAATAAAACTGAATTAATTCAACATTGAACTGACTTGAGCCGAATAATGACAATATTATCTTTCTGCTTTACAGCTGAAATTTATTTGTTTATTAATTGATAATTGATCATTTTACAGCATTAACCCAGCTAACAAGGACCGTTCTCAGATCTTTGGCTAACTTCTGGTTAATTCATTGTTTGTTCAAAGTTATCTGGTCTTTAATAATGTTCTAAAAATGTTAGCAAAAAACATTGTTTAGACTGACTTCAGTCAGACATGCGTCCAACATTTTGATTCAGAAAACATTCCAAAGTAATGTTCCTGTAATATTTACAAAATGATAAGATGGAATGTTCCCATAACGTTTGCATAACCAATAAACATGTATTTTATAAAACATAAAAAAAAAAAAAAAACATATGTGTACTGACCTTGTTTAGATGATTCTTTCTTCAGTTCCTCACTCAGAGAAGTGACTCTTCTTTCTAAAGCCAGTTTCTTCTGACTCAAAGAGTTGAAGTTGTTCTGTAACTGGCTTTTCTCAGCAGTGAGATCTTTGACTCTCGTCTCCAGCTCCAGTTTCTTCTGACTCAAAGAGTTGAAGTTGTTCTGTAACTGGCTTTTCTCAGCAGTGAGATCTTTGACTCTCGTCTCCAGCTCCAGTCTCTTCTGACTCAAAGAGTTGAAGTTGTTCTGTATCTGGCTTTTCTCAGCAGTGAGATCTTTGACTCTGGAGTCCAGCTCCAGTTTCTTCTGACTCAAAGAGTTGAAGTTGTTCTGTAACTGGCTTTTCTCAGCTGTGAGATCTTTGACTCTGGAGTCCAGCTCCAGTTTCTTCTGACTCAAAGAGCTGAAGTTGTTCTGTAAGTGGATTTTCTCAGCAGTGAGATCTTTGACTCTGGTCTCCAGCTCCAGTTTCTTCTGACTCAAAGAGTTGAAGTTGTTCTGTAACTGGCTTTTCTCAGCTGTGAGATCTTTGACTCTGGAGTCCAGCTCCAGTTTCTTCTGACTCAAAGAGTTGAAGTTGTTCTGTAACTGGCTTTTCTCAGCTGTGAGATCTTTGACTCTGGAGTCCAGCTCCAGTTTCTTCTGACTCAAAGAGTTGAAGCTGTTCTGTAACAGGTCTTTCTCTGTTTGATCTCTTGAACTGGACTGTAACATGTGTGTAGCTTGTACTTCTCTCTCTGCCGTGAGCTTGATATGCAGAACTACAATGGCAGCCACCAGGAAAATGCACATGAGGCTAAAACACACTGTGCTCAACACAACACATTTATTTCCTATTGACAAACCTCCTGCCAAAAAGAAAAACATCAAAATTCTAATAAAAATTGTAATCACTTTTTTGTTGTTGAAATAGATAGGCCTTTAAGGAATATGTTCACTATTACAAAGATCTTAAAGTGCACTCCTGAACATATGCATATGACTTCTGCATCACACTACACGTCTTACTGTGGTTTCGAGCTCTTGCTTCAGTGTAGCTGAGTTTTCGGTCCTTGTTTGCATAAGTATCTCCATCTCTGTCCAGTCCCATCTCATTGTACTTGCTGCAAGTCTCGTGGTTGTCATTTTTATAAACACTCACTAGTTCCATGATCACTTCTCTTCAGTTGTGGACTTCGGGAGGATGAGTTCAGGGTTTAATATAGAGAACTTCCCCTAGAATTTACATACTGCTGACTGTCAAGAATGCAAACTTTGATGAACTGTACAGCTTCTCAACAAAAATGTTGGGTTCAAGGAATCCCCCCTCATTTATTTCGCAAAAACTTCATTTTAACCAGGGGCCAAACTCGACTGTAACTATTTTTCTTACTGGTCTTATAGTTATATTAAATGCATCTATTTTAATACAACATATGTTTCTGTAAAAATATAGAGCTGTTTTTTTTTCTTAGTGAAACAGCAAAGCTCATTATGCCACTTTCTTTATATACTGGTGAATATCAGTAAAATAACTCGTCTTTATTGTGGATTTTTGTGAATTTGCTTTCAAATCTTCCAAAACAACTACAGAAGTCTTTAATATAATAGGCCTACATCACAATTTTTTTTAAACAGCATAGAGAAGCATTAAAAATTAACTTGTTACTGCATGTGCACTCATTCCACAAAGTCCATTCTGACATTTATATACCAGTATGCTCAGTGTCACTATGAGGTGATGAACTACAGACTGTTGTGCTGTGCTATACATAAATGCACATTTCTCTCTAAAAATACGGATGCTATTTTGCTTACATTTATTTGATCTTAACTTTAAATACTGCTGAGCTTGAATAATTGGAAAACTGAACTTGCACAACATAAGGTTACTCTGAAGTAAACATTATAATCAAGCATCTGAGTTAAAAATCCATAATAAATCAGTAGGCTACTTTCAAAAATTAGTTGTTTTGGAATAGTGAATGATCAGAACAGAGGATCTTGCTTAACCATATTTATTATGGAAATTTGCTTAGACATGCATGTGCCCCAAACACCTTAAGAATGGTGGTGTACGCAAGTCATGCGTAGGTATGCATTAATTAATAGCTGAATAACAGGATAATTGTGGAAAAAAAAGCAACAGTCAAAATTAACTCATAACTCATGTATTACATACATTTAAAGTTGAAAATGAAGCTATACTGATTTTCTGTTTCATTTAGTCACTGAGCATCTCAAAGCAATAGTCTGGCATTTGACTTATTAGCTGCAGCCGAAGCGCAGATCCTGCTGGAGACTCAACATGCCGTTGTATTTTTCTTTGAGTTCTTCGTTAGTCTTGCTCTCCTCCAAACTGGGCCAGAACTCCAACCACGTCCTCTCGCCCAGAGCATACTGACCGCTGGGAGACATCAGAGGAATTTTACTTAAAAGAGACCGTTTGTATACATTGGACCATTCAAAAGTATTTCATATTTCAAGCTCTGTTATTAATACAGATGCACATTCACAGATCAGGGCACACACACTTTGGATCACAGGTCAAATGTACTTACATTCTGCCCTCCAGTTGGACATCATCAGCCTGGCCCATGATCAGATAGCTCTCACCTCGCTTCAGATCCAAAGCTTCTTTGCAAGAGATCTGTAAGGAGAAGGTACGCTGCTCCCCCTCCACGTCGATTTCTGGACCTACACAAATTCATGTGTATGACATGTGACATGTTTGATTTTCTCTCTCTTGCTCTGAGTGATCACTGACACAACATGGCAAAAAATCACCAGTGTCTCTGGTAAGATAAAGACCATTAAAGGGGGTCACATGATGCGATTACAATTTTTCCTTTCTCTTTGAAGTGTTACAAGCTGTTGTGGAGTCGCTGTGTGTTTTGTTATGACAGCGATACTACTTTGTTTGGCCTTTCAAAAGAGGACACAACTAGAAATCAGTGGTTAAGTTGTATTTACAACACTGTTCCAGAACAGTTCAACCCAAATATTCAGATGTGTGCTGCGCATTTTATGGAGGACGAGGACTGTTTCCTGAACCAGTAGCCTACAATGCGTCGGTGGCACAAAGGCTGTTTCTATAAAGTTGGGCAGTTTGGGTAATTATGTCCCCACTGGATGCAACAAATGCCTCGTTTATAATGGGTTTTAATGTTTTTGTCTCGTCGCTCCGGCCGGACAGGGCATCACAGTATGTTAAGGGGCGTAACATTTCCGTCACACGCTTGAGGCATTCGGCCAATCACAACGCACTGGATAGCTGGCCAAATCAGAGCACACTTCACTTTTTCAGACCGATGAGCTTTGTAAAAATCTACGCGTTTCAGAAAGGCGGGGCATAGTGTAAACATAGGGGCATAGATCTGTAAATCACTTTGCACCTTACTGCTGAAATAAGCATAACATTAAAATGACAGAAGAGTGAGGAGTTATACCTGTTTTGAGGGCAAGTTCAATCCTCACATCGTAATAGACTGTTAAGGCATCCTCATGTTCTCTCAAAACAACAGCTTTATAAACTGTAGAAATGGATTAGATTGATGTAGCATCTTACTGATCACCACATTAACTAATAATTACAGTATATAGGAAAAAAAACTCACTCATTGCACCAAAACATGCACACACACATAATAAATTACCGTAATTTATTTTAGGATCACAGGCTTTCTTATTACGGTGAGCCTCAAGAATTTTCTCCTTCTTTTGAAGGCTGCAGTTTTCTGTTTCAGCAATGGAAAGAAAAATTAACCTGCTGTAGATTAAAGGTATAACTTTGTATGTCTTCTTTGCACTTTTTTTTAAATTTTTTTTATTATTATTACACTGAAACACGCTACCTTCGGCACACTGACAGACATCGTTCTTACAGATTTTCTGAAAAGCTCCTTCCTTCCTGGTGGGATGATAAAACCTCACACAGCGATTTTCTAAACATGGAAGAATCACATGGGTCACATAATGTTCTTTGTCCTGCAGCATCAGAAATATTAAAGTAGTCAGCCGTGAAAATAATGTCAAAACAAGTCAAATATAATATAAAGTGTCAGTGGCTCATTGAGATTTTTTTGTTTTTTGTTTTTTTAGAATTTGTGTAATAAATTTGTTTATCTTTTTTAATTAATAAAGATTGTTGTTTAATAATGATTCAGTAGCTATGTTTATTTGAATAGATTTACTCTGGAATACTTTGTGCAACAACTTTTTTGGATGCTAATACCATAGCCAATGGGGAAAACATATGTAAATAGGGGCGGGAACACAGCACGCTCTGTGAAGAGCAGAGTGAAGAGAGAAATGTTTAGTGACATGGTGGTTTCAAATGGCAAACAAGACCATTCTAAATGTAATTCTACTCGCATTTTTTCTTTTTTCCGGTAACAGAGTACCAAACAAACACACGCACAAGCGCAAGCGCGACCTCCACAATGACCATTTAAGCGGTAATGGTTTTTCCATTTCATTATAACTGAAATCAAAGTGTGATCTGCATGTTAGGTTATTAGTTTCTTTACTTGCCCAAATCAAAAAAAGCCACTCCCAGATCTCATGTTCCTCATTCAATGTAAGTCTATGGGATTTCTTTTTTTTTATTTCTTTTTTTTATAAATATGTTTGGCCTGTCGCATTGTCAGACTAAAAAGGCAAGTGCGATTGCTTAACACACGTTTGCATGCACATCAGCTTCATACCTATAGAGTAGTATTCATATACAGTGACTGCTGCTGGTTGAAGGAAGCCTCCATTCATTATTCTGTGCAGCCGGAATGAAATCCTATCTTCCCTGGTATGAGAAATCTGCAGAGAGTGGAAATGCAGACATCAGTCACCTTATAGTAAGCATGCAGGTGTGTGTGTGTGTGTGTGTGCACTTGCAGATGTATTTGTGTTACCCCAAATCAGTTTAATATTAACAGATAATATTAATAGAATTGATGTAGTCATTCTCACAGTAATTACTAATTATAGTAGTTAGGACTATATGTCCTGTTCTCTTGATAATAGCCTCACTAAGCCTTTGGTAATGATGGCACCATTTTTTGTTTTTTACCTTACAACACTTTTATATGAGTGTTTTCAATGTAAAACTGAGACAGACACCTTGTCCAGGTAGAGGATGAGGGATCCTCGCTCTGAAAGCTGCTTGTTCATCTCAAATTTCTGAATCATCCTGTCATGTCCAGTTGACAGCTACAAAAAGAAACAAGTTAGTATTGGAAAGTTTGACAATGTGGCCACTGTAACATCCAGTGGAGCACAGAGTATGGAATTTGTGAGAAAATCAAGCAAAAAATTACACCAAGAATGTCAGAAAGAAAAGCAATATTAATACAACCCACCTTTGCACTAATGGTATGTTTTAATATACTAAAATGTTGTTCTTGCTATAGTTATAATATACAATATTATAATAGAACATAGTTATTATAATACAACATAGTTGTGATTTAAAATTATTACATTACAGAAAGAGTTTGCTACCACAGTTTGCACAGCTGGTGTACATAGAGTCTGTGTTTCTCAACTTTTTTGTAGTGGAAAAAAAGCAGTTTGTTGGGACTAACACTATATGCACACTGCAATTAAACACACCTGAAGTTCTTAATTTAATTTTGTCAAAAGCAAATGTGAATAATGCAAATGTGAATAATAGAAATGTGATTCATACCGCCTTAAGATCATTCTCATCCACAACAAATCCTGTCAGTAATGATATGTCCAATATAGACATGGTGGCGTCTCTGTCAGCAGACAGATATCTGTGGAGTCATCAAAGCAAATGTGAGATTTCTTTAGCACTACTGGCACAGCAAAAATAAGGGGTTCAGAAAGATCTCCAAAACTCACCTGGTATTGATAATGAGTTTGTAACTCTCAGTTGCTCCTTGATATGTTACTAAAAAAAAAAAATGTGCCAAATAAATAAATGTGAATGTACACAAGATAGTAATGGGCAATTATTACAACAGGTAAGGCATATTTCAACCCAAAAAATAGCAAACTTTTGTTTCATTATATATATTATATTTTGTTTTGAATCAAGAAAATGAAGCCAATTTTAGGACCATCAAGATTTCACATTTTACAATTACACATTTTTAATGAAATAAAAAGTATTACAACATTTCGCACTGTAAGCAAAAGGGCTTCATTTTC